GTTGTGAGATTTTTGTTTTCTTTATGTTGAGGTGTAATCCATACTGAAGGCTGTAGTCTTTGCTCTTCATCAGTAAGTGCTTCAGGTCCTCTTCACTTTCAGCAAGCAAGGTTTTGTCATCTGCATAATGCAGATTAACAAGTCTTCCTCCAATCCTGATGCCCCATTCTTCTTCATATAGTCCAGCTTCTCAGATTATTTGCTCAGCATACAGATTGAATAAGTATGGTGAAGTATACAACCGTGACACACACCTTTCCTGACTTTAAACCACACAGTATTCCCTTTTTCTGTTTGAACGACGGCCTCTTGATCTATGTACAGGTTCCTCATGAGCACAGTTAAGTGTTCTGGAATTCTCGTTCTTCACATTGTTATCCGTAGTTTGTTATGATCCACACAGCTGAATGCCTTTGCATAGTGAATAAAACACAGGTAAACATCTTTCTGGTATTCTCTGCTTTCAGCCAGGATCCATCTGACATCAGCAATGATATCCCTTGTTCCATGTCCTCTTCTGAATCTGGTCTGAATTTCTGGCAGTTCCCTGTCGATGTACTGCTGCAGCCACTTTTGAATTAACTTCAGCAAAATTTTACTTGCGTGTGATATTAATGATGTTGTTCAATAATTTCCATATTTGATTGGATCACCTTTCTTGGGAATAGGCATAAATGTGGATCTCTTCCAGTTGGTTGGCCAGGTAGCTGTCTTCCAAATTTCTTGGCATAGACGAGTGAGCACTTCCAGTGCTGCATCAGTTTGTTGAAACATCTCCGTTGGTATTCTGTCAATTCCTGGAGCCAATGCCTTCAGTGCAGCTTGGACCTCTTCCTTCAGTACCATTGGTTCCTGATCATATGTTCCTCCTGAAATGGTTCAATGTTGACCAATTCTTTTTGGTATAGTGGCTCTGTGTATTCCTTCCATCTTCTTTTGATGGTTCCCATGTCGTTGAGTATTTTCCCTGTAGAATCCTTCAGTATTGCAACTCGAGGCTTGAATTTTTTCTTCAGTTCTTTTAGCTTGCTGAGCACGTTGCTCCCTTTTGGTTTTCTATCTCCAGGTCTTTGCGCATGTCATTATAATACTTTACTTTGTCTTCTCAAGCCACCCTTTGAAATCTTTTGTTCAACTCTTTTACTTCATAATTTCTTCCATTTGCTTTAGCTACTCAGTGTTCAAGAGCAAGTTTCAGAGTCTTTTCTGACATCCATTTTGGTTTTTTCTTTCTTTCCTGTCTTTTTAATGACCTCTTGCTTTCTTCATGTATGATGTCCTTAATGTCATTCCACAACTCGTCTGGTCTTCCGTCATTAGTGTTCAACGCTTCAAATCTGTTCTTGGGATGGTCTCTAAATTCAGGTAGGATATACTCAAGGTTGTGCTTTGGCTCTCGTGGACTTGTTCTAATTTTCAGTTTCAGCTTGAACCTGCATATGAGCAATTGATGGTCTGTTCCGCAGTCAGCCCCTGGCCTTGTTCTGACTGATGATACTGAGCTTTTCCATCGTCTCTTTCCACAGATGTAGTTGATTTGATTCCTGTGTATTCTGTCTGGGGAGGTCCAGGTGAATAGTCATCATTTATGTTGGTGAAAAAAGGTATTTGCAATGAAGAAGTCATTGATCTTGCAAAATTCTATCATGCAATCTCCGGCATCGTTTCTATAACCAAAGCCGTATTTTCCAACTATTGATTCTTCTTCTTTGTTTTCAACTTTTGCATTCCAATCACCAGTAATTATCAATGCATCCTGATTGCATGTTCCATCAATTTCAGACTGCAAAAGTTGGTAAAAATCTTCAAATTTCTTCATGTTTGGTCTTAGTGGTTGGTGTGTAAATTTAAGTAATAGTATTAACTGGTCTTCCTTGTAGGCGTATGGATATTATCCTATCACTGACAGCATTATACTTCAGGATAAATCTTAAAATGTTCTTTTTGATGATGAATGCAATGCCATTCCTGTTCAAGTTGTCATTCCCGGCATGGTAGACCATATGATTGGCTGTTTCAGAATGGCCAATAGCAGTCCATTTCAGCTCACTAATGTCTAGGATATTAATGTTTACCATTCCATTTCATTTTTGGTGATTTCTAATTTTCCTAGATTTATACTTTGTACATTCCATGTTCCAATTCTAATGGATGTCTGCAGATATTTCTTCTCATTTTGAGTCATGCCACATCAGCAAATCAAGGTTCTGAAAGCTTGACACCATCCACATCATTAAGGTCAACTCTACTTTGAGGAGGCAGCTCTTCCCAGGCATATTTTGAGTGTCTTCCAACCTGGGGGGCTCATATTCTGGCACTACATCAGACAATGTTCTACTGCTATTCATAAGGTTTTCACTGGCTAATTCTTTTCAGAATTAGACTGCCAGGTCCTTCTTCCTAGTCTGTCTTAATCTGGAAGCTCAGCGGAAACCTGTCTACAATGGGTGACCCTGCTGGTATTTGAATACTGGTGGCATAGCTTTTAGCATCACAGCAACATGCAAGCCCCCACAGCATGCCAGACTGAGAGATGCGTGGGGGAAGTGAGGAGTAGGTATATTTTATTTGCTCAGATGCTATTGAAAATGAAATTGTTTCCCTGATTTCCCTTTCAGATTTCACATTGCTGGTGTATAGAACCCAACTGATTTTTGTTTGTTGACCTTGTACCCTGCAATTTTGCTAAATTCCTCTATTGCTCCTGAAGTTTTCTTGTGGACTCTGGGATTTTCTATATATAGGATCATATCATGCACAAATAGAGATAATTTTACTTCTTCTTTCCCAATCTGGGTACCTTTTATTTCTTTTTCTTGTCTTATCGCTCTGGCTAGGACTTCTAATACAATATTGAATAGAAGTGATGAGAGCGGGCACCCTTGTCCCTGATTTCAAGGGGAAATCTTTTGGTCTTTCTCTGTTAAGTATGATACCGGCTGTTGGCTTTTCATATATGCCCGAGTCATAGTGAAGAATTTCCTTTCCATTCCAATTTTCTTTAGGTTTTTCATCAAGAAAAGGTGTTGGATTTTATCAAATGCTTTTTCTGCATCCATATAGATAATCATGTAGTTATTTTCCTTTGTTCTATTGATGTGGAGTATTACTTTGATTGATATTCTAATGTTAAACCATCCCTATATTCCTGGAATAAATTCCAGTTGGTCATGACATATGACTCTTTTAATATGCTGTTGGATTCTGTTTGCTAGTATTTTCTTGAAGATTTTTTATCTATATTCATAAGAAATATTGGCCTGTAATTTTCTTGTGATGTTGTCTGGTTTGGGTATCAGTTATGTTTGCTTCATAGGATGAATTAGGGTGTATTCTTTCCTTCTCTATATTTTGGAAGAGTTTAAACGGTACTGATGTCAATTCTCCTCTAAATGTTTGGTAGAATTCCCTATTGAAGCCATCTGGTCCAGAATTTTTTTTTGTTGGGAGGTTTTTCATTACTGATTCAATCTCTTCACTTGTTATGGGTCTGTTGAGACTATTTCCTCTTGAGTTAGTTTGGGTAGGTTGTGTGCTTCTAAGAATTTGTCCCTTTCATCTAGGTTATCCAGTGTGTTGCTGTACAATTGTCCATAATATTCTGTCATAATTCTCTTTATTTCTGTCAGGTCAGTTGTAGTGTTGCCTCTTCATTTTTTATTTTGGTTATTTGCATCTTTTCCTTGACTGTCTAGCTAAAGGTTTGTTAATTTTATTGATCTTTTCAAAGAACCAACTTCCAGTTTTATTGATTCTTTTTTTTTTTTTCTTGTTTATTTATTTCTGCTCTGATCTTTGTTATTTCCTTTCTTTTGGTACACTGAGGCTTAGTTTGCTCTTCTCTTTCTTGTTTCCTAGAGTTATTGAGTTAGGCTGTTGATTGGAGATCCTTCTTCTTTCTTCATGTAGGCATTTATTGCTGTAAGTTTCCTTCCGAATACTGCCTTTGCTGCATCCCGTAAGTTTTGGTATGTTGTGCTTTCATTTTCTTTTGACTGTAGGAAATTTGTGATTTTTCTTTTTATTTCTTCCTTTACGCATAGGTAGTTTAATAGTGTGTTGTGTATTTCCATATGTTTATGTATTTTCCAGGTTTTTTTCTGTTACTAATTTCTAGCTTCACTCTCTTGTAGCCAGAGAATGTACTTTGTATGATTTCAGTCTTAAAATTTATCAAGACTTGCTTTGTGGTCTCACATGTGTCTGTCTTGGAGAATGATCCGTGTGCACTGGAGTAGAATGTATGTTGTGGTGTTTTTGGGTGTCATGTTTTATATATGTTTGTTAAGTCTAATTGGTTTATAGTGTCATTCAAGTCCTTTGTTTCCTTGTTGATCTTCTTTCTAGATGTTCTCTCCAGTATTGAAAGTGGTATATTGACGTCTCCAACTATTATTATAGTGGTATCTAGTTCTCCCTTCAATTCTATAGGTGTTTTAGGTGCCCCGATGTTGGCTGCATATATATTTATGATTTAAGTTTTCTTGATTAATTGACCCTTTTATCACTATATAATGTCCATCTTTATCTCTTCTAACAGATTTTGTTTTAAAGTCTACTTTGTCTGATACTAAGATTGCCACCCCAGCTCTCCTTTGGTTATTATTTGCATGGAATATTTTTTTCCATCCTTTCACTTTCAACCTATTTGTGTCCTTGAGTTTAAGGTGTGTCTTTTGTAAACAGCATATAGTTGGATCTTGTTTTTTTTGTCCATTCTGTCACTCTCTGCCTTTCGATTGGAGCATTTAGTCCATTTACATTGTTTGGTTTGGTTTTGGTAGAGCCATTGGAGGGGTGTAAGCCATGGGTTCTAATAAACAGGGAAGCACAGGGATGTGGGAACCCGGGGAGACCCCTAACCCAGTCTGGGGGTGTGATGTATGTGCCTGTACGCACATGTGGATGCACATGTGTGCAAACACATACATGTCTATAGCTGGTGGCTGAGCTTGGAGCTGTGACCAGAGCCCTTGCCCTACTTCTACTCCTCCCCACAGGCTGTGGGTGAGCGTGGAGGATGCTCAGATGCACACCGTCACCATCTGGCTCACAGTGCGCCCTGACATGACAATGGCTTCCCTCAAGGACATGGTGAGTGAAGGGGCTGAAGGGAAACAGCAGGATAGAAGTGCATCATTTTGCTTCCACCTCTCTCCACTCTGGTCTTCCCTTCCCACTCACCCTCTTTTGGTGCCCCCTGCCAGGTATTCCTGGACTATGGCTTCCCACCAGCCCTGCAGAGGTGGGTGATTGGGCAGCGGTTGACAAGAGACCAGGAAACCCTGCACTCCCATGGGGTGCGGCAGGATGGGGACAGTGCCTTCCTCTATCTGCTGTCAGCCTGCAACACCTCACTCAATCCCCAGGAGCTGCAGCGGGAGCGGCAGTTGCGGATGTTGGAAGGTGAGGCTGTGTTCCTGAGCAACACAGTACTAGAGGGGACTCCCCCGCCACGGCTCACCTGAGGTCATAGGGCAAGAGTGGGCAGAGCCCACAGGCTGTCAGTCAGGGCCTCACCCGGAAGACTTTATTCACAGTGGGGAAGAGAGGACATAAGACACCTCAGGAGGAAGTCATTTCCGGAGACCATTTCAGGAACAACCAGCAGGGGGAAGAGGGGCTGAGTTCAGTCCTGGCTCTGGTATTGACCAGCTCCGTGGCCTTGGACAAGCCCCTTCCTGTTTCTGTGCCTCAGGTTCCTAACCTACAAATGGAATATGATAATAATAAGAGTGTCTAAAAGTTTATTTTGAAATATTTCAGATTTACAGAAGTGGCAGAATTGTACAAAGAATTCCCATGTACCGTTCCACCCAGATTGCCCAAATATTAACATGTTACCATACTTGCTTTATCATTCTCTCTCTCCATATATGAAATATTTTGAGAGTATATTTTACACATGAGGTCCCTCTCTCCTAAATATTTCAGTGTGTATTTCCAAAAAAAAAAAAGCTTTAATTGAAGAAGTTAACATTGTTTCTAATCTACAGCTCTTATTCAAATTTTACTTAATTATCTCACTAATGTCCTTTATAGCAAAAGACATGATATTCAGCTCTCATGCGTCTGTAGTCTCTTTTAATCTTTGGTTTCCCCAGACTTCCCTTGACTTCATGACATTGATACTTTGAAGAGTCCAGGCCGGCTTTTTTGTTTATTTTTGTAGAATGCCCCACAATTTGGGATTGTTTGATGTTTCCTCATGAATAGATTCAGATTCAGTACTTTTGAGGCACAGGAGGCTGTTTTTTTGGGCATTATTTTTAAGCCCAAAGGACACAGGAGCATTCATAGGTGGAGTAGGGACTCTGACCTTTGGGAGCCAAGGTGCTCAGCAGGCGTCTGAGCCCACCTGGCAGGACAGCTGGAGACACCTCCAGGCAGGAGAGAAAGAGTGGAAGGTGGGTTCCATGAGGGGTGTGAACCCCGCTTAGGGAGCAGGTGATATGGGCCGCCTGGCTCCGCCACCCTCTTCACTCACCTCTGCAGATCTGGGCTTCAAGGACCTCACGCTGCAGCCAAGGGGCCCCCTGGAGCCAGCTGCCCCCAAGCCCGGGGTGCCCCAGGAGCCAGGGCGGGGACAGCCAGAAGCTGCCCCCGAGCCCCCGCTGGTAAGGTGCCTCCGTGGCCGTCCCCTTCCCCAACCCCCTCCGCCCCTTCCCACAGCCCGCCCCGCCCTCCCCCAACCCCCTCCGCCCTCCCCACAGCCCGCTCCGCCCCTCACAGCTGCTCTGCTCTCAGGTGGGCTGGCAGTGCCCGGGGTGCACCTTCATCAACAAGCCCACACGGCCCGGCTGTGAGATGTGCTGCCGGGCGCGGCCGGAGGCCTACCAGGTGCCTGCCTCGTACCAGCCCGATGAGGAGGAGCGAGCGCGCCTGGCCAGCGAGGAGGAGGCACTGCGTCAATACCAGCAGGTGGGTGCGGAAGTCCCCGCACAAACACCTGGAGACTGGACTGGGGAGACTTAGGCCAGGAAGGGAAACACCTCACATGCCGTTGCTTCCTCATGACCACACCCCTGACGGTGACCCTGCACTGACTGCCCCCCACCCTCTACCTGAGTTCATCCTGTCGCTGACTGAGACTCCCCAACATACATCCAGGGTTCACATGCCCCACCCCCACATGAGCTGTGGCTCCAACGGGCTTTGAAATACACACGTTTTACGCAAACAAGTGTCGCTGCCTGTGACCCTGACATCCTGGACTTGACTCTAAGCTTGGACCCCCATTCACCACCTCCTCATCGCCTGTGACCTAGTTCCTGCTCCATCGGGCCATGACCTCACCCTGGACCCAGCCACTACTGACTCTCACTGGCTCCCTCTCTGGCCATGGCCCAGCCGCTGACCTGTGACCCTGATCCCAGTCTCATGGCTTCCTGGGTGGTTGACGCCGCTTTCTGCCCTGCCTCTCCATGTGCACCGATCGCCACATGCACACTGATTACACAAATTCCGGACCCTGAGTGCTCCCCCATTCTGATCTCATGCCCCTCATCTCCCCCGGCATTCCCCCTGGGCCCAGCCCTGCTCCTGCCCAGCTCTGGCCATGACCTCACTCCTGGTCCCATCTACAATCTTGGCCCTAACTCCTTCCCCTCCCCTGCCTTATTCTCTTTCTTAATTTTGACACCCCACTCCCGACCCCTAACCTGCTCTGTAACCTTGACTTGGCTCCACCCCTATCCCCTGGTCCCAGCCCCTGCTGCCCCTGACTCCCCACTAGGGCTCTGGCCTTTTTCCTTTCCCTTCCACCATCCTTCCCTTCCTCCTTCCTGTCTCAACCCCAGCTGCAGCCTCAATCCAACCTCTCCCAGCCCGTTGCCTGCCCTTGGCTCCACCCCTTGTCCTTGGCTTTGCCGCCTGTCTGCCTGGCCTGGCTCCACTCTTCCCAGACCAGCCGCTCCTGCTCCTGCTCCTGCCCACGGCCTGGCCACTGCCCGGGGATCCTGAATCTCTCCCAGCTTTGCCCCCCGCCTCCCGGTCTGACCTAGCCCCAGCCCCTGACCACGTCCCTGGTGCTGCCCCCTGGCTGACCCGCCCCACGGCCCGCCCCGTATGCCCAGCGGAAGCAGCAGCAGCAAGAGGGGAACTACCTGCAGCACGTCCAGCTGGATCAGAGGAGCCTGGTGCTGAACACCGAGCCTACCGAGTGCCCCGTGTGCTACTCGCTGCTCGGGCCCGGCGAGGCAGTGGTGCTGCGGGAGTGTCTGCACGCCTTCTGCAGGTGCGGCCCCCAGTACCACCCCTAGAAGTGCAGCGTCTGCCCCAGCCCTCCTTTACCGAGGGCTAGAAGTGGATGGGGCCCTGTGCGCTTACCCGCCCTCAAAAACCTGCAAAGTAGGCTCTATTCTCCTGCAGTTTGCAGATGAGGAATGTGAGGTACTGAGAGACTGAGCAATTTACCCAAGGCCACACAGCCTCTGAGAGGAGAAGGCCAGACATAAACCTAGGCGCTCTGGCTCCAGAGCCTGCGCCCTTAACCACCACCCTGCACCACCCAGGCCCACGCAGCGGACTCCCACCGCCTGGCTGGGCTGCATCCTGCCCCGCTCTGAGCCTCCTCTCATGTCCTTCTATCCCGGGCTGTTGAGAACACGTGCTCCTTCACTACGGCAGACATTGTCGAGCAGCCCTGGGTGCCAGGAACTGCTAGGCACTGGGGATCCAGGAGTGAACGAAAAAGGCCCAGTTCCTCCCTCTTGGAGCCTCCATTCCAGTGGGGAGGCCGATGCTAATCAAGTAACGACTGATTGGTATTGTTGTAAATTGTGTCAAATTCTAGGCAGTAGTGGATTATGATAAAAATAGCAGGGGACCTATTCCGATACATGGTCAGGGAAGCCCTGTACCCATTGCCTTTGAGTTGATTCTGAGTCCTGGTGACCCCGTGTGTTACAGGGTAGAAAGTCCCTAGGGGGTTAACATTTGCGCAGAGAGTGGAAGGAGGTGGAGGTAGGGGAGGAAGCTCTAAGGTGGCGTGGGCCTGGCCTATTTGAGGAGAGCAAGGAGGCCAGGTGACCAGGCACAGAGGGATGGGAGGGAGGTAGTAACAGATGAGAACAGAGGAGCGGGTCACAGCACCTGTGAGCCACAGTGAGGGATTCTGGTTTCTTCTGGCTGGATGGGAGGCCGCTGAGGAGGATTGTGGCTGCTGTGTTGAGAATAGGCTCTAGGGGCAAGGTGGGTGCTGGGAGCCTGGTGAGGCTACTGCAGTCACCAGGCCAGGGATGGTGGCAGCCTGGGCTTCGGTGGTAGCAGTGAGGGTGGGCAGAAGTGGAGGCCTTGGTGAGGGGTTGGTGGGCAGGAAGGGGGGGAATTGAGAAGCCTAGCTGGTGGTGGCTGAGAAAGGCCTGTGGGGTTAGGCATTGCCATGTGGTGGGCGAGTTTGGATGACCCTAACCTTCCCATCCCAACCCTCTCCCCCAGGGAGTGCCTGCAGGGCACCATCCGAAACAGCCAGGAGGCGGAGGTCTCCTGCCCCTTCATTGACAACACCTACTCGTGCTCGGGCAAGCTGCTGGAGAGGGAGATTCGGGCGGTAAGGTGTGGGGCGGGTGGGATGTTCCTGGCCCGGGGGATTGGGCCCTGAGCTGGCAGGCGGGAACTGACTGGGGAGCTGGTCTCAAGTAACAGACATTTATCAAGAACCTTCTCTGTCTCAATGGGCAGCTCCTGTCCAGAGGCGAGATGAGAAGGCAGAGAGGGTCAGGAGCTGGTTGAATGGACACGAGAAATCCAGGGTGGAAAAGAGGAGTGTGCTGTCACAGTATAGGGAGAGCAACTAGGCTCACATAACAATGTATGTGTAAATTTTTGTATGAGACTAACTTGAATTGTAAAGTTTCACTTAAAGCACAGCAATTAAAAAAAAAAAAACCTTCTCTGTGTGGGGTTCTGGGAACCCAAGCAGTGAACGACAGGAGCTGGAGGAAGTAAGGAATAAAGAAACAACTTCCTATGAAGGATGGGCAGCAGAGTGGTTAAGAGAGGAGACTGGAGTCAGATGGCCTGGCTGTGTGACCTCAAGTCAGATGTGCAGCCCCTCTGTGCCTCAGTTTTCTTATCTTGGTTAGAGTCAGTCTCTATTTCAAGGGTTTCAAAGATTAGACGAGAGAATTTGTGTAAAAAACTTAGAGTAGTGCCAGACACAGTGTAAGCTGGTGTATCAGTTAACTTTGATTGTGTAATAAAGCACTACATACTCAGTGGCTTAAAAAAAAACCAGCGGTTTATTTAGCTCATGATTCTGCAGTTTGGCTTGGGTTTAGGTGGATGGTTCTTCTGATCTGGGCCTGGCTGATCTTGCCTGGGCTCAGCTGGTGGATCTGCTTGGACAGACTGGTTTGTGAGGGCCTAAGCTCCAATGGTTGGGATGATTGGGCCTCTCTCCTCTTTGTTCTCATCCACCAGCAGGCTGGCCAGGGCCTGCTCACTTGAGGGTGCCTTTGTGTTCCAAGAGCAGCAAGAGGGGAAACTCCTGTGCACAGCCACTTTCCAAGCCTCTTCTTATTTCATGCTAGCTGCTGTCCAACTTGCTGTTGGCCAAAGCAAGTCACATGCTCAAACCCAGACTCTGTGGGAGGGGGACAACCCAAGGGTGTGGGATCGGTGGGCATGAACAAATTGGGGCCATGAATGCAGCAGTCTACCCCAGTGCTATATATGTCTGCGTGCGTGTGTATTTTCTTCTACTGTTGACACTATTATCATGTTCTTACCCTGACTGCTGGTGATCTTGGGCAAGTCCTTTCCCTTCTCTGGGCCTCCATTCCCCCATCTGTAAGGTGGACTGTCAATCTTGATTCATGATTTTTTTTTTTTTTAATTTTATTTTATTGTTGTTGTTGTTGTGAATATACACAGCAAAATATACACCAGTTCTACAATTTCTACCTTTACGATTCACTCACATTCATTACCTTCTTCGAGTAGTGCAACCATTCTCACCTTCCTTTTGAGTCATAATTTTTAAACTCTTGGGAAGTGGCCTTCCCAAAATTGGGCATCTTGGGATTCCCAGGCCAGAACATGGAGGCAGTGTTGGAAGTGGCTGAAGTCCAAATGGGAGTCGCCCACAGACACGTAACAAGATCCCCTGTTTCTCCCTGTCACTTCTGCCTCTTGCCTGTGACCCTGTTTCTCCTCAGACTCTCCCCCAACTTCACCAAGTGTTTCCTGGAGCCCCAAGGGACTCTGAGAGGATGTTCTGCTTTAGGGGAGAAGGGGAGACTAAAGGGGCAGGACTTTGGGGACTCCCACCCCTTTCACCAAGAGCAGCCCCATTTTATCTATTTGATGGGACTTCTGAGACGGGATGCTTGAGGGGGTTGGAGGCCTCCTCGCTCTGGCCTGGAGGGGCCCTGAGAGATGGGTAGTCGCGCGTCTGGCACCTTGGGTTTTCCTGTGTGGTCCAGCCGTGCCGAGGGACATTGTGATGGGGCCAGAGTTCGTGCTGAGAGACTGTGGGGCCCATGTGTTCCCTGGAAGGGTGGCAGAGTGGTTAAGAGGGCGAAGCGTTGACCCAAGCCTTAGAGAATGGTCAGATGTGGCAGAGAGAGAAAGGGGCGGGGGTCGGCAGAGTAATGCAGGGAGGTTGTTTTTACAAAACACATGCCTAATCCACATAGAGCCAGAGCAGGGGTAAAGAAGAAACACTCATACCCCGGCATCCCTGGAATCTCTAATTGCACTTTCTCCTGTTTGCTTCATTGTCTCTGGGCAGACATGAGTTTTTCTTTTTAAATCAACTTTCTAAGGTATACTTTGCACATGATAAAATGAACGCATTGTAAGTAAGTGTACAGTTGGATGTGTTCTGACGACTGTAACTCACGTAACCACCACCCGATCAAGATACAGAATTTAGGCAAGATTTTTACCTCACTGTAACTAGTATAGGGTCCCTATGAGTCAGAATCGACCCCACAGCAACGGGTTTGTTTTTTTTTTTTTGGTAACTAGCATAGATGCAGCAGCTTTTGCTACTTTGCTACAGAAATTTTTGAAAGACTTATTACAAATGTCTATGGCATATATCCTGTTTATACTCCTTCTCTTATAAATTCCAGTTTCTCAGTTTTGTAAGTAATGCTCCAGGGAACATTTTGCACTGTGTGTCTTCCTTCTTATATGTTACTTTCTTCAGATACGCTTGGAGTGGAATGGGTCCCAAGCATTGCTTATTTGTGCTTTCTGGTCCAAGGTTTTTTTTGTTGGAAGTTTTTTTTTTTTTTTTAACTCCCCTTTCTCCCTTCTCTCCACCCCCTGGTAACCACTAATCTTTTGTCTCAATGGTCAATGGATTTACTCATTCTAGTTATTTCATATAAGTGGGATCATATAATATTTGTCTTTTTTGTGTCTGACTTATTTCATCCAGCATAGTGTTTTCAGGGCTTATCGATGTGACATGTATCAAAATTTCAATTTTCTTTGCAGCTAAATGTATGTATGTACCACATTTTGTGTATCTATTCATCTGTTGATGGGCATTTGGGTTGTTTCTGCCTTCTGGCTATTGTGAATAGTGCTGCAGTGAACATTGCTGTACAAGTGTCTGTTTGAGTCCCTGCTTTCATTTCTTTTGGGTATACACCTAGGAGTGGAATGCTAGATCATATGGTATTTCTGTTTAACCTTTTTTAGAAACTGCCCAACTGTTTTCCACAGTGGCTACCATTTTACATTCCCACCAGCGATGTACGAGGGCTCTAATTTTTCTACATCTTCACTAGCACTTGTTATTTTATTTTTGGTTTTTTTTTTCTATCCTAGTGGGAGTAAATTGGTGTCTTATTGTGGTGTGGGTTTGCATTTGTCTAATGACTAATGATGTTAAGTGTTCATTTTTTTAATAGAGTTTTTAAACACAGTGAAGGTTACATGAAGAAAGAGTCTGGGGCTGGGTTGGAGTTTATGCGTTGGGGTCTTCCTGGAGGATGTCTAGTGGCGAGGATGGCACTATAATCAGGGGTTCTGAGTGCTGAGTGACAAGAACATGGTCTGTTGGCAGCTACTGACCCCCGAGGATTACCAACGATTTCTGGACCTAGGCGTCTCCATTGCTGAAAACCGCAGTGCCCTCAGCTACCACTGCAAGACCCCTGACTGCAAAGGATGGTGCTTCTTTGAGGACGATGTCAACGAGTTCACCTGTCCTGTGTGTTTCCACGTCAACTGCCTGCTCTGCAAGGTGGGGTGGGGACCCATGCTGCCTGGTCACCCCAGTCCTGCCAGAGCGTGCAGTTCAGTGCTTGCTTTTCTGAGAGCGAAGCTGGGACACTGGCCTGGTGATTTAAGGCTGTGTCATCAAGAGGGCCAGACCAGACCCTGCACTGAGCCTAAGCCTGGACTTAGCCCTGACCCCAGGCTGAGCCCTGGCCCTGGACCGAGCCCAACTCTGGCCCCAGTCACAGACTACATCTCAGCCCCGTACTGTGCCCCAACCCTGAACTGAGCCCTGGCCCCAGGCTGAGTCCCAGCCGTGGACTGAGCCCTGGCCCCACAGACTGAGTCCTAACCCTGACCCTGGCCCCAGTCACAGACTACATCTCAGCCCCATACTGTCCCCGGACCCTGGACTGAGCCCCGGCCCCACAGACTGAGTCCTAACCCTGACCCCAGACCGAGTCCCAGCACCGGGCTGAGCCTGGCACTGGACCAAGCCCTAGCTCTGGTCTCATTGACCGCAGTCCCAGTAACAGACCAAGCCCCAGCCCTGGCCCAGACCAAGTCTGAACCCCTGTCCTGAACGCGCTCTGATCTTAACACAGACTGAGCCTGCCTGAACCTCAGCCCGGGCTGGGCCCTGGCCTCCATCACTTCCAAGCTGACCATGAAGAAATGTAAGGAACGCTTAGGCAGCCCGGAGCCCAGTCTCTCACGTGGCCAGAACAGTCTCTGTCTCAGAGCCTTGAGGGGCTACGGCCTAGGGGAGAGGTGGGTGGAGGTTTGTGCGCGCATCAGTGCTTGAACACACAGGTGTATGTTATATGTGACGACCCTGGCTTCACTTCCCTGGGCCTCGATGTCATCTTCTGTAAAATAGGTGTCTGGTTTACTATGCAGGGCCCTGTCAGTGACTACATCTGGACGCAGTATGTGCTTATGTAGATGCCTGCTCTGCCCCTCCCCTGTCCCAGCTTCTCCACCTCCTGGGAAGCTTCTCACCAAGCCCCTACTTCCTGCAGGCCATCCACGAGAATATGAACTGCAAGGAGTACCAGGATGACCTGGCCCAGCGAGCTCAGAACGACGTGGCCGCCCGGCAGACGACAGAGATGCTGAAGGTGAGGCAGGACCAGGGACTTGTGTTCTGGGGGCTAGGTGAGAGGGGCTGGTCAGAAAGGCTGCGCTTCACACCTCCCCAGAAGCTCTGACCCCCCTTCTGCTGTCACTTCCATCCAGGGCAGATTGGAGGTTGGACAGGTAGTCAGGAGGCGATCAGCTAGGAGAGTAGGTGGAGTGAGGAATGAGGGCGTGGAGGCTGGACTCAGTTGGCCTGTGGGGAGAAGCATAAGAAGAGAGACTTCACCACATTTCTCTGTCGTGGGGAGAGCTGGGCCGGGCTGGGTGGCTGGGGGGTCAGCGTGGGGGCCACCCCAGGTCAGCGTGGGAGCAGCCCCAGGTCTGCGTGGGGGCCGCCCCAGGTCAGCATGCGCTCCGCCCGCCCCAGGTGATGTTACAGCAGGGTGAGGCCATGCACTGCCCGCAGTGCCAGATAGTGGTGCAGAAGAAGGACGGCTGCGACTGGATCCGCTGCACCCTCTGCCACACCGAGATCTGCTGGGTCACCAAGGGCCCTCGCTGGGGTCCAGGGGTGAGTCCCCTGGAGCAGAAAGTTCGGGAGCGTGTGGGGAGGGTGTCCTTGTGGGCCTTGCCCTAGGGTTTTTGTTGTTGTTAGTGCATTCCGACTCATGGCCACCCCACGTGTGCAGAGTAGAACTGCTCCATAGGGTTTGCAAGGTTGTGACCTCTCTGAAGCAGATTGCCAGGCCTGTCTTCCGAGGCACCTCTGGATGGGTTCCAACCGCCAACCTTTCGGCTAGTAGTTGAGCGCTTAAGTGTCAGTGCTCCCTGGGACTCCTTGCCCTAGGCTTGTTGTTGTGTGCCTTCGAGTCAATTCTGACTCATAGTGGCCCTAGAGGACAGAGTAGAACTGCCCCATGAGGGTTCATAGGCTGCAGTCTTTATAGGAGCAGATCTGTAGGTCTTTTCTCCCACAGAGTGACTGGTGGGTTTGAATCGCCGGCCTTCCAATTAGCAGCCAAGCACTTAGCCATTGTGCCACCAGTGCTCCTTTGCCCTAGAGTAGGAGTTGGAAAACTACGGCTCAGGGGCCGGATGCACCCTGCCACCTGTTTTTGTATGGCCACCCAGCTAAGAATGTTTTTTGGTTTAAAAATATTGAAAGAAGAGTAATATTTTGTGACATGTGAAAATGATATGAAGTTGAAACTTCAGTGTCCGTAAGTAAAGTTGTCCTGGCACACAGCCACACTCCTTCGTTACGTGGTGTCTGCTGCCTTTGCGCTCTGCAGGCACACGCAGTGTCTGGTGCTTTACAGAAAGTTTGCTGACTCCTGCCCTGGAGAACAGTGAGTAACGGTTCCGCCTGGAGTCAGAGGTGGACTGGGCCCGTGGCGCTGGCATATACTGGCTGTGTCTCTAGGGTGTTACTCACCTGTCCGTCTCAGTTTCTACATCTGTAAAATGGGGATGATAGCAGGCCTGTCTCAGGGTTCTTGACAGAGCTGAATGTCAGACAAGTGTTTAGCAGGGTGCCTGTCACATGGTGAGCTCTTCGTCATTGTTAGGGGTGTGTCCCTGGAATTGGGGGCTCGTTATGTACAGGCAGATGCTAAGTCAGATGAAAGCAGAGGAAGCCTCCCTCTCCACGCTGCAGTGTGCTGACACAGCTAGAATATGCAAAGATCCGGCAGATTCTGTCCCTGTTCTGGGTCTAGGGGTGGGCAGCCTGAGACTGTGTAATTGGGGGTGCGGCGGGAGTCCAGAGAACACCTTGATGACTGCCTTCACCAGGGGTGAGGCTGAGCGGAAGCATCTGCAGGAGCAAAGGTCCCGAGTCGGGGAGTGGCCTGCTTTGGGGAGATGTTGGGGCATCATGGGGCATTCCGTCTGCACCACCTGACATATTTCTCCTCCCCCATGCTCTAGGGCCCAGGAGACACCAGTGGGGGCTGCCGCTGCCGGGTGAATGGGATTCCTTGCCACCCCAGCTGTCAGAACTGCCACTGAGCTGAGGGTGGTCCTGTCCCCACACTGACCCAGCCCCACATCCGCAGGCTGCTGTGGGGTGGGGCTGGGAATGGGGCTTTGGCTCTGATTCTGGCCTGGGAGATGCCTCTGGGCTTGGCGGAGATGGGGGCCTGCAGAGAGCCCAGGGCCCCTGAGCTGCCTGGCTGGCCTTGTTCGATATAGGGGTTGTCCATAGCCGCCCCAGTGCCTTTGCCCTTCCTCTGGGGCTTGCAGGCCAGACCTCTCACCTCTTCTGTGTGGCTACCAGCTCTGCCTGACCCCAGCCTTAAGCACAGCCCAGGGCCAGAGGCCTTGCCAGGCAGTGCCTCTGTGAGCCTCCTGCGTGGCTTACTCCGCCCACCCTCGTCTGCAGCCCACCAAGCATTCACAGCCTCCCTGCCTCCCTTTTTGGCTTTCTGGGGGTGACTTTCCTCTTCCCTTGCTGTCGGAGGCGCAGAGCCTCCTAGAGCTGCTGCTAATCCTGTCAGAAGCTGGGAGGGAGACCTGGCTGCTTTTAAAGCACAGCCACAGGCCGGGCGTCTGCACCTCCCCCTTTGCCGCCTGTGTAAGCTAATTAAAATGGTTTTCCAGGAAGTGTGAGTGTGGTGTCCTTGAAGAAGTGGGCTGGGACTCTGCACAGAGGCAGGATCCCAAGCTCCTGGGGAATTGCCACAGGAAGTCGGTATATCGGACCCTTTCAACGGAGTCCCTGGGTGGTGCAAACGGTTAACACACTTGGCTGCTAACCAGAAGGTTGGAGGTTGAAGTCCACCCAGAGGCACCTCAGAAGAAAGGCCTGGCAGTCTACTTCCAAAAAATCAGCCAATGAAAACCTTATGGAGCACAGTTCAACTCTGACACACATGGGGTTGTGCTGAGTTGGGGTCGACTCGATGGCAACTGGCTTCAGTTTTCAGTGGTAGAAAAAGGGTATGACTGAGTTCAGGATCTTTGCACCAGACTTGGCACTCTCTGTCCAACTCCGGGAAGTGGATGCTCTTGGGTCAGCATTAGCCTGGACAGGCAGGGTTTGTCCATTGTGCCAAGGGTCCACAAAGAAGGGGCTGCAGATAAACATGGGCTTCAGGGAGAGGGATGGGCCGAGGCAGCAGCTACAGGCTGGCAGGAAAGGCTTGTTACCTGCTTTTGACCTTTTGGGGTATCCAGAGTTGGGGAACGTGTATTTTAGGAATAAATTAAGCTTTAACTGCTTTTATTGATGGTGAGGCTGTCCAACCTAATTTTAACATGTCTGACAAGATGGCAAAATATTGGCCCAGTGATACTAGGACTCACTCTGCTGGTGAGATTAATAAAGCAGGGTTCTGGGATACCCATTCTCTAAATTTTTATTCCATTCTGTGACTCACTTTCTGTTGAACTCTGGTATTTTAAGGCCCACACATCATCTGTGCCTGGAGGTGGACTACCATGACAACAGGCTGAGGGCGCATGTTCTGTTCAAGGCTTGGAATCTAGGCTTTGGGGCATGTGGTTTTGAGGGGGAAGGGCCTGCTCTAGCCCATGGAAAAGAATCGCCACTTGTCCTTGGATGCCAAGACACTGAAGAGTTGATCCCAGGTGCTGTGAGCAGAGACGTGGACAATGTGTGAATGGACTGTGCCTTCCATCTCTGCCAGCATTGGCTCAGAGAGCTGTCGGAGCTATGAAGGGCCCGCTGGCAGCCTCCCAGCCCCGGAGCGAGCAAGGGTCAGCAGAGCCGCTGGTTGGGAGAAAACGGAACAAGTGAATGAGAGCTGGGCTGCAGGAGGAGAACATGGGACCCAGGTCAGGGCAGACAGTGCCTCCCTCCTCCCTCTCCTGCCTGTCTTGGTACAAGAGACAAGCAGAGACCATTCTCTTGGCGCAGACGGTGCAAATTGGTGAGCCACAGGCTGTGACCAGTCCACCCAACACTGTTTCAGAAATTTGAATTGGTTGCCATTTTTTTTAATTGTAGTGAGTAAATATGTAATAAAACATTTGCCATTTCAGTATTTTTCACATTTTACATCAATTCAGTGACATTAAATTACATTCATCACGTTCAACTACCACCACTATCCATTTCCAAATGTTTCTATCACCCTTAACAGAAGCTGTGTCCCCTAAGCAATGGGTTGCCGATATTTTTACATAGGGAGATAGCACATTAAAACCTAGATGCCCAGCTTCTCTTGAAAAAGTGGAAGCTTGGTAATCCTGGGTCCTCTTTCCACATGGCAGGAATGCCCGGGTCACATGGAGGCTGCTCCTCTTCATGAAGGCATGCACCTTCTAGTTCGTCGGGGTCATCATCACCCCATTAGGCTCACACACAGCCTCGTCAATGTCCTTGCACCATTCTGTTCCTCATAAACCCTAAGGGGGAAAAGAAGTATTTCTTTACCAATGGCTCCATCAAAGAGGAGGACAGGTCAGAGTGGATTGCTTTGGCTGCATCTTTCATTTTGCCCACGCGGTCTACACCAACCCAAGCATCGTGTTTGGATCTGCTGCAGCCAAACAGAGGGTCAGGATAGAGGTGAAGCTGTCCCTGGGGTCCTAGCCTCCACTCAGTCCTTCCTGGGCCAGTGGGTAAAGGTCCCAAGTGGGTAGGGTCACAAGTGCTCCCCCCTGCAGGGTCAAGTGGAGGTGCCTCCCCAGGTCAGGGCCTGGACCTTGATAGCCACTACCAATTCTCTAGGGCAGTTATAAGCCAACCGCCACCCTCCCCTTCCCCACCCACCCCTGCCAAATTTGGAGTCACTGCTTACCTGAGGAAGCAGCAGATCCGAACTGTATTTGCGTGACACAGGAGCAGGGGAAGGCCAGCAGAAGCCCATTGCTCAGATAAGGTACAGCTGCTGCTGGTGTGGGAAGGACGTAGAGGACGGCTCCGCAGCCTGTGCCAAGGCGACACGTGTCTTTGAGTGTCTTGGGCTGGCAGAAAAGGCACTCACTGAAAAAACAGGAAGTTGGAGGCCAGCCCGCAACTTTGCCTGCTCACAAAGGCTGCTGGGCAGATTCCAACCATACGTATGTCTGGAGAAAAGACTACCAGCAAGGAGGGGGCCCTCGAGAGGTTAGGGAAAAAGGCAGCAGGGGCCGCCCACAGAAAACATGGAGGGGACCATAGGGCAGGGGCCAGAAGACAAAGTCAGACTAAGCCTCAGCCCCTATCATCTTAGTCGAACCTGGCAAAAGCCTCTGGGCTGTTCTTCCTTTTCCTTACGGCTTATCCTGAGATGAGCACGGGGGCCCAAGCACAGGGCTGGCCAATGGCCTTTGTTGATCAATAAATTTTCACTGAAATGGAGTCAAAACACTTGCACAATTTCAGTTTGGAAAGCATTTTCACACACATTTCATTAAACCCTGCATATGTGATGGGAACCATACTGCAACCGTATTGCACTGTTACGGGAAACGAGTCTCAGAGAGGTAGTGACTTGCCCAAGCTCACAGTCGGACAGGAATAGAAGCACTTGGTCCTCAGCCCTAGACCCATCATGCCACCAATAATCCTCTCTCCAAACCCAGCTTTGGCCATGGCCCAACCTCACCCCCTAAATCGCCTACAGAGGAGTTTCAACTCCTTCACCCAGTACATAAAACTCTCCTTGGTCTGGACCCCAAATACCCTTCCACTGACACCACCCACTAGATCTCTCTACAGACCCTTAACTCCAACCCTCCTAGACAATGCTGCCCCTAAAACACATTTTTAATTCTGCTACTTCCCCTCAGCCTTGCATGCGCTTCCTTCAATTCTCCAGGATCAAAATTCTACTCCATTCTTTATATTCAAACATCAGCGCCTATGAAACTGTCCCCGAATCTCCCTCAAAACATTGCTCCTCCAGTGGGACTCTGGTGTGAGCTCCCAGGGGTAGGGTGGTGTCCGGGCCAACCCTGTGTCCTCTGTGACAGTCCAATCAAAAGGGCAGCTGGAGCAGCCAGCCTATGTTGGCTCAGTCTCAGGCTGCCTTCACACTTACTTCTGGGCCAGGCAAGCATTAATAAAACATGCCAGACTGCAGTATTCTTGCCTCCTCAACGGATCCATCCATCCCCAGGACAGAGGCCACAGGCCTTCGGCACTGCTCTGGGCTCCCAGTACCCACAGCTGGGCGTGTTGAGGATGTTGGAAGAGCTTGGCAAGAACAACTCCCAACAGCTTCTTTGCTGATGGAAATGACATGTGGAAGCTAAGTGACATTTACAGCAGCTTCTGGTTAGGTTCCGACACTGAATGTGCGCCTTTAGAGCTGAAGGCATTCTGGAAGAGTGCATCAGAAATAGCCCAAAGCACCCCCACTAAGATCACTTGCCACTTGCACTGCTTAGCTGTCACTAGTCCCCAGGCAGTAGCTCAAGTGTTAGGTCATGTTTCTTGCAGGTGAAACAGAAATAAGACAGAGGATCTTGCCTAAGGTTTCCGGCAAGTCAAGGTCACCCAGGAACCCACAGACCACAGCACCGTCCGGGGCCTGGCGTGGGAGGTGGGGGAGCATCAAGGCCAGATGTCTAAGATCCCAGAGTCCACTCCTAACAAGTGGTGGACAGGGACAGAACACAGAAGAGGTGATTAGTAACCACATATGGCTGTTTATTTTATACAGGGCTCTGTACAAAATATTTACACATATTCTTTACAGAATAAGTAAACCACCTGAAGGTAAAAAGATAATGCCTTCTTCTCATTGGCAAGGAAGAATCCTGGAGTCAGCAAAAGCTATGAAACAGATGAACTTGCTTCAGAAGCAAATGCCACTTGGTTCCTGGGATCCAAAAAGCTGTGGTCTTGGGACCCTGATCACACACGCCTCCTTCCTCTTACCGTCAATTCCTCCTGTATTTACAACCAGCATGTGTGCCTGCAGGAAGATGCCGCTGCCCATTTGTGAAGGAGGCAAGGGGACAAACTGCTGTGGGAGAAGACCAGAATATCTGCCACACTGTCACCTCTGGATCCTGGAAGAATTTCCTTTGTCCTCATGAATCTACCACTTACTACATTAATCCACCTATATCATGCTCACCCCAGGTGGGGCTCCTGCTATCTAGAAGGGCCCATCCTTTTGAGCTTGTCTGGGCTTTAAAGTGCTTTGTGTCCTTCAGCATGGGCTCTGTGACCGTGCTGGGCTCAGCCAGACGCCCAGCATGCGAACTGCCCTCCACTCTGCACAGCGTGCACACGGTGGACGTGGGTGTCTGGGTAGGGATGAGAGCACTGCGGGGAGGGTGGTGGCATGCAGTGCTTCTGGCATGTTCACTAAGAAAACGCCTGCCAAGAGAGAACAGGCCTAGGAGTGACCAGGCAAATTAAAGTTCATGGCTGCTTCCTTCTATGCATCCCGATTCTGTAAAGCAGCAAAAGGCACTTTTTCCAAGCCAGAGTTAGTCTGAAGTAAACCTGGCTTCACTGACGGGAAAAGCCGTCCAGAAGGACCAAGTGATAAACAGTCCCCTAGGCCTGCTGAGCCCTTGGGGAAGCCTGGGGCTGGGGGCTGGCTGTTCTAGGCTCCCACCACGCTCTTCGCACTGCAGTCTGTCCTGTTCTGGGTACCAGCAAGTTTCCAATGACATTTCAACCAGGCAGGAGGGGATAAATCAAACACAAAAGATGATGCCAAGGTATTGAGAGGGTGCCTATTTGGGAGTAGAAGAGTGATTCAAGAAAAACAGAAAGGAAGGAAAGGCAGCAAGGAAGTGGACACTGGAATTTTGAGGCTGTTTTACAAACAGCAACTCTGCCTGAAGTGAAACGTTAGGAGTAGAAACTCAGGGTCTCAGGAGTCCAACCTCCTAATGAGAGCTATTTGTCCACGAAGGAACTGTTATTTTAAAAGAGAGGCTACTTTAGATGCTGGGTGTATATAATTCTAAAAATAGTAATAAAAATCTCTTACAGGCAATGCCATGTGGCTTATGGAGTAAGAAGGAAAAAAGAAGGAAAAAAAAAAAAGGCAGGCAAAATCAGTCTGGGTCTGGGTGCTAAAAATCCCCACTCATTCCCACTTGACTGGAAATGCCTAAGTGATTTCTGGGCTGAAAACAGGTAGGCTTTAACTAGTAATCTAGTTCACACCTGTCTCTTTGATTTCTGACCAGCTAATGGAGCCACTCTGAAGAGAGCCAACTTGTTCTCAGGCTAGATTCCTTTGCCCTCTCACTTTCATTCCAAGGTCTGACTTCTAGAAAGAACAGTGGCTCCTTCCCTCTTTGTCCGTATGAAGCAGAGAACACGGTGAGTTGCAAGAAGGGCAGTCAGCGGGCCAGGTTACCTACTACTGGGCAGCCAGGGGGCTGTAACCAGGGCAGCCCAGGCCTAGCCAGTTCCAAAGGCGGCTGGGAGCTAAAGAAACCCATTTCCTCCAACACAGGGGAGGCAGCCAAGGGCCCACTCAGAAACCCACTGTGAAGGGGTCAAAGTTCTAGGTCCAGGCCCCCATGTGCCTTCAGTGTCAGCCAGGCTCTGCTATTGGCCTCTGAAGCAAAGGCAAACCATGGAGACGGGCAGGGAAGGGTGGCAGGAATAGAAAACCCTTGACAGAACCCTTTTAATAAAGGAATTTCCAGCCCCTCCCAATCCTTCCATGGAAGGGTGAGACCTTAATGTAACAAAGTAGGAAGTGTCTTCTCTGGCTTTTAGGGAAACAGTTGCAGTTGGAATTTAGGGGCCCACTCCAGGGCACTTTTCACCACAGCCAGGGCAGCCGCTCCAAGTGCCACGGTCAGCCCCATCACTGCCAGTTTCACAAAGCGGTTGGTCCTTGGTTTGGTCAGGACATCTTTTGTTGGGTCCTCAGGCCGCAGAAGTCCCCGAAACCGCTGCCGCAACACCATGTCAGGCCTCTGCTGGGCTGACGCCAGCTCAAAGTCTTTGAAGGTAGAGGCTGCCGTTCTGCAGGGGAAAGAGAGAGAAAGAAGGAAATGGCATGAGCGGAGGAGGAGGAGGAAAGAAAAACTGAACAGGCTGAGGGCACAGCTGCTCAGAAAGCTCTTCCTGGTAAAGACCCATGAAGTCTAAACTGGGATTCTGCTGGCCTAAGATTAGATCTCTGGAAGTGCCCTCCTCTCCTACCCTCCCCAGACACAAATCTTCCATCACTTTTGTTCATTTACAAATGTTCCCAGCTCCGCTGTGCCTTGGCGCCACTCACCTCTCGGCTCGCTGTTGGGCAGCTGCCTCTCGCGCAAGCTCGGATGGGGGAAACTGAACAAAGAGGTCTCCTGCTCTGCTGATCAGTGTCTCATAGGGCAGGTCCTGAGGGATCTGGGACAACAGGTGGTGGACCGAGGCCATGTCGCAGTCACAGTCCAGGACTTCCTGCTCACGATGTAACACGATCTGTGGAGAGCAAGGTCATGCATCAAAGGAGCAGACACACTGGGCCTTGGCCACAGGCATTTCATTCTTAGAGATGAATTTAAAATGATCACAGACAGCACTCACTCCGAATTTTCAGCAAACTCTGGTAACCATCTAGGAAGTAATAACGTGCACACTCTGAGTCCTTTTCTTACTGGGCTAGCCCTTCCTGCCGGAGGGAAACTTCCACCCATAACACAAAAGCTGACCAAATTAAACTGAGTCACTCCAGGCACAGCTGTCTACACCAGTGTCCCTCAAAAACTTGAAAGAAATGAAGTAGATTCTTTTAGGAGAAAGAGAAGGAGAGGGGTTGCTGACAGAGTCCTAGAGCTCCAGTACAGAAGGAATGGTTCTTGTTCCCTTTAAAGACCCCCCTCGGACTGTTGGGCCGCATGTCCACACACGCTGAAGAGAGCAGTGAAGAGCTCCACTGCCCCCCCCACCCATTTCAGGCCCTTCTAATAACTGGAGCCCCCACCTTCTACCACAAGCCACCTCGATTTTTTAACTTATAACACCAGATCTCTTCTTTTCCTAAACCTGGAGTTGGTAGTCTGTATTACTGACTGTTTCCCTAATCGTGTTCAACAGTAGAACACAGTTCCAGGAGATGTCAATAGGGACACTGATAATTCACAACGCACATTAGCATTTTAAAGGTTTGGGAGAGTCATGCAGAAAAGAAATCTGTTTAACTTTGTTTAACCAGCATTTCCCAAACATATTTGTACATACAACATTTGTTTTCATGACACTCCCATTAACATTGTGGAGAATGGCGTCCAGGGACACAGCCTGGGAAATGCTGCACAGACTCTCAGATCTGTCCTTGGCATCTTTCCCTAGTCCTCAAGGTTCCCTGAAGGGGAAATGACCTAAGTTAGATGAGTGATGGTGAACCCAGTTGCTGGCTCATGGCCGTACCTACCACAGCTGCAAAGTAAATGGGCATCAGAGGGTGGCAGGCCAGGAAGAAGTCATATAACCGCACGACGTGCCTGAAGTCGGACAGGACGTGCCCAAACCAGGTGATGAGCCAGCTGAGGGCAAAGATGGTCCCCACCTCAGCACTAGGATCAAAGGAAATCCAGACATTAGGTCCCCTGCTGGGTCACCCCTTCCCTTTCTCTGGGCCTTCTTTGTCCTCAGTACTGGTGAGAAGAAAGCATGTGGGAAATATGCTTTCTGGAAAATTTAGCCACCTAGAAATTCACCATATTCTCCTCACGAAAAACATCTTTAAGATGTACCTGCCATCATGACACTAACACTACAGCAGGGTCCTGGCTGCCTTTTCTCACTGGGTGCTCTCCTAATGGCCAACGAATGTCAACTACAGGGACAGGAAATAACTGTTTTCAGAGACTTGTACCATGATTTTCCTTCTGAGAAAATTATACCCCTTTTAGGGACACAAGTGCATATTCTCAGGCTCGAAAACACAACTAAATTAATTTTTCAGTAAACATGAGAACACTGAAACATCTTAAGATGCAGCCATTATTTAAAAAAAAAGTGAAGCACTGGTTGAGGGCACATTTCCAACTAAACAGAGAAAGAAAAAAAAAAAAATCATATGAGATTTGCGAAGAAATATTTTCTTCTCCTGGGTACTTGAGGAATAAAACCCACAGACAGCCTTGTCACTCTTGCCTCTGGATCCCAGAAGACTTTGTACTTCTCTGTGGCAATAACCTCTAAGTCTACTTTAGCATACCTACCTTATCCACTTCTCCCTACTAAATGTAAACTCCTCAAGGGCACAGTTGTGTCATCTCCTGTATCCCCAAAAAAGCATAGTGCCCCAAAAGTGCCCAAGGACTATGTACAGAACTGAATTATCCAGAGAGCTAGTAACTGGAAAGGACAACTCAGAAAAACATAGTGCTGATCAACATAAGTGGATGATGAAATTGAACGAGATTTGTAAAGAAAGGAAGAATGGCTGATAGAGAGCTTAAGGTGTGTGCAGACACATAAATGCAGACACATATATACCTCTGCATGAAGTCATGGAGTTCTGGATTCACCTGGTCAATGATAGGCATCAGATAGTTTAATATATGCTTGGTGTTGTCCATTGTTGGATCCATGAAATCCCTAGAGGGAAACAATTCAAAGAGCTTGGTCAGATCAAAGACAAATTAGACCAGGAATGAGGGGTGGAGTGGGGTTCAAGCCATTAAAAAAACTGGCTAGAAAATGGGCTGAGGAGTTATCCCCAGGGGAGCCTGAAGAGTGATATCCATCATCTCATATTCCTCTGTGTTGGTACCTGAGGTGGTGGGTAGACAATTTTTCTACCAGGGATGCTGCCAGCCTCTCGCCTACCACCAGCAGAAAGGTGACCACAATGTCATGGTAGCCCTGGTAGTAGTGCAGCTGAGGGTTCCGCTCCAAGATGAGGAGGATGATGTCAATCAGCTCTTCCTGGAGCCCTTCTCTCTGTTCATCTGGCATCCCTGGGAGAGGAATGAGAAGAGATGCACTTAAACACAGCAAGCAGCCTAGTAACAAGGAATAAGACCAGCAATGGATTTTCAGAGAAGTGTTCAATAAAAGTGAAGAAGTTATAAACAATTTGGCAACATATATCAAGCTCCACAACCTGTTGATATCACCTGGCATACAGGAAAGAGTCACAGACTAGCAACTTTACAGTGGAGAAACCTGGCAGACACCATGTCTTAGTCATCTAGTGCTGCTCTAACAGAAATACCACAAGTGGATGGCTTTAACAAAGAGAAATTTATTTTCTCACAGTCTAGTAGGCTACAAGTCCAAATTCAGGGCATCAGCTCCAGGGGGAGGCTTTCTCTGTTGGCTCTGGAGGAAGATCCTCGTCGTCATCAGTCCTACCCCAGACTAGGAGCATCTCTGTGAAGGAACCTTGGGTCCAAAGGACGTGCTCTGCTCCAGGTGCTTCTTTCTTGGTGGTATGAGGTCCCCAATTCTCTGCTTGCTTCCGTTTCACTTCTTGTAAGATAAAAGGTAGTGCAGCCCACACCCCAGGGAAACTCCCTTTACATTGGATCAGGGATGTGACCTTAGTTAGGGTGTTATACAATCCCACCATAATACTCTTTAACATAAAATTACAATCACAAAATGGAGGACAACCACACAATACTGGGAATCATGGCCCAGCCAAATTGATACACACATTTTTTGGGGGACATAATTCAATCCATGACACACCACCTTAACCAAGTGATGAAATGAACCACCAGTGATGGGTCTATGTGACAGCACGTGGCTCCTGATGTGATGTACTGAAAAGAACTCAGCCTCACTTCAGTGTAATTCCTACCAAAAGTGAGGAAATAGCAGATAATCCCAAAATGAAGGAAATTTTACAAAATAACTGGCCTGTATTCACCAAAAGTGAGGTCTGTGGTTGGCACAAGTGGTGTGTGTTCATCTACTAACTTAAGGGTTGGAGGTTCAAACCCACCCATTAGCACCACCGACAGAAAGGGCTGGCGATCTGCTTCCATAAATATTACAGCCAAGAAAACCCTATGGAGCAGTTCTACTCTGTAACACTAGGTCGCCAAGAGTTGGAACAACTCGACAGCAGCGGGTCAAGTTTGTTTTCTTCAAAAAGAAGTCTCTGAATGGTGAAAACAGTTAACATGTTTGGTTGCTAACCAAAAGACTGGAGGTTCAAGTCCACCCTGAGGTACCTTGGAAGAAAATCCTGAAAATCTACTTCTGAAAAATCAGCCATTAAAAATTCTATGGAGCACAGTACTACTCTAACACATATGGGGTTGCTATGAGTCGAAATCAACTCAATAGCAATTGGTTTTTATTCTTCAAAAATGTCATGTCATAAAATAGCAAAAACTGTGCCAGATTAAAGGAGACTGAAGAGATATGACAATCGAATGGGAAATGTAAAAATTTGTATTTCCTTTTCCTATAAAAGACATTATTGGGGTAATTGGCAAAATCTGAATAAAATCTATAGATTAGATGACAGCATCGTATCAACACTGTTACTGATCTTGATAATTGTACTGTGATTAAGCAAGAGCCTTGTTTTCAGGAAATATACACTGAAGTATTTAGGGGTAAACGGGTACTATGCCTGCAATTTACTCTCTTTGCTTTAAAGTAATTTTGACCATTTAATCTCATACAGATGATTTTTTAAAGAAGCACAGTACTCACAGGTGATAATCTTTACTTCATGAGTCCATCTGTTATTTAGCTAATGACCTCAGGGGATAGTTTCAGTTACAGATTTAAAGAGTATCTCAGGGCAATGGTCTCAGGAGTCCTTCCGTCTCATCTGGTCTAGTAAGTCTTTAAGGAATTTGAGGTTCTGTTCCATATTTTTCTCCTGTTCTATCGGGGTCCATCTATTTCGGCCCAGATCAGAATGGTCACTAATGGTAGACAAGCAACATCTAATTCTTCTGGTCTCAGGGTAGATAAGGCCGTGGTTCAGGTAGGCTATTCTAGTTCTGTAGACTAGTTTCCTCCTTGAGTCTTTGGTTTTCTTCTTTCTCTTTTGGTCCAGATGGGTAGAGACCAACAGTTGTATTTTAGATGGTCGTCTGCAAGCTTTTAAGACCCCAACACAATACTCACCAAACTAGGATGTAGAACATAAACTTTATGAACTATATTATCCCACGAGACTATGGTCCTCAACTCTGAAACCCAGGAAACCAATCCCGCGAGGTATTTGGTTATGTCTAAGAAGTATCTGTTAACTGTGCCCTCTATGTGCTTTATTAGGTATATGAATGTATGTGCACAGTCACACAGATTGACGTACATACACATATGCACACACCTATATATACACACCTATACATACCTATATACATATATGTCTACGTACATGTTTATACCTGAACTTTTTTTTGGTTGTTGCTGTTGTTTCAAAATTATATATGCCGTAACAATGACCCAAAGGTCCTTTTCTCTTGTGTACCTTTTAGTGAGATCATTTACCTTCATCAAGCTGTGCACACTTCACTCTCATTAAGTGCTGCCTTTTCCATCACCAAAAATATCAAGTGAATTCTCCACTCCTTCATTCCGGGTAACCACCAATGAACATTAGTTTCTGTATATTTGCCGGTTCATGTCATTTCATAAAAGTGAGAACACACAATAATTGTTGTTTTGTGGTTAGACTTATTCACTCAACATAATGTCCTCTAGGTTCATCATGTTCCAAGATGTTTTGGGAACTCATTTTTCTTTATTACTGAATAGTATTCCATTGTATGTATGCACCACGTTTTATTTATCCATCCATTCATCTGCTGATGGGCACTTAGGTTGCTTCCATGCAATCTATCCTTGAACGGTTCAGAAAAAAAAATGTGTTTCCGTGTGTGTGTGTATGGAGGAGGAGACAGAGAAAGCAATAACAAAGCAAATGTTAATATATAAGAAAATCTGGGCAAAAGGTATCTGGGAATTCCTTATCCTATTTTTGCAATTTTTCCGGAGGTCTGAAATTATATAAGATAAATTTAAAAGTTGCATGTTCTCCTCTAAACCAAAGCACATCTCACAGGAGGTACCCATCTTCCTGATGCACAGATGCAGCTGGAAACGGGAGCCTGTCTCGGAAGTTCTTTCAGAGGATGGAGCTGATTCTGCCAGTGGTCAGTGTGGCTTCTCAGTCCACCTGGCTTTTAGCATAAACTGTCACACCTTGGCCCTGTTTACTGCTTTAGGAGGGTGGCACAAAGCACAGCTTTCCTAAACCATCTGCTCTGCCAGTTAAAACAGATAGCCTGAGAGAAAGCAGCTGATATAAGGGCCTAGATTAAACTTAAAGAGTTGAAGGTGAGAGCAAAGCTTGCCTCTTGCCCGTATTTACCCAACCCTTCTCTGAAAGACATACTCTAAAAGATAAAAAAGGAAATGGAACAAGCCAAGTACCATGGGTAGGTAAAAGCAGTGAGAGAAAAAATTAAACCTTGTTTGAATTTTCATTAGAGTGGTCAGCTAAGGCCAGAAGAAAATAAATGGAAAAGGAATATGAAACCTACATGGAAAATACGGCCTACAGAAAGAATAAATACTGAAGTCACATAAGTGAGAACAAAAAAAAAACCAGTTGCTGTCCAGTTGACTCTGACTCCTGGCGACTCCACGTGTGTCAGAGGAGAACTGTGTTCCATAGGGTTTTCTTTTTTGTTGTAGTTTAAATGAAGTTTACATTTCGAATTAGTCACCCATAAAAAATTTATACATGCATTGTTATGTGACCCTAATTGCTCTCCCCATACTGTGACAGCACACTCTTCCTTTCCACCCGATTCCCCATGTCCAGTCAACCAGCTCCTAACCCTCTCTGCCTTCTCATCTCACCTCCGGACAGAAGCTGCCCCTTTGGTCTCTTGTATCTACTTGAGCTAAGAGGCACACTCGTCACGAGTATCACTTTATGTCTCACAGTCCAGTCCAATCCCTGTCTGAAGAGTTGGCCTTGGAAATTATTTCAGTTCTGGGTTGATAGAGAATCCAGGGGCCATGCATTCTGGGGTTCCTCCAGTCTCAGTCAGACCATTAAGTCTGGTCTTCTTACTAGAATTTGAGTTCGGCATCCCACTTTCTCCTGCTCCATCTGGGACTCTCTGTTGTGTCCCTGTCAGGGTGGTCACTGGTGGTAGCCGGGCACCATCTAGTCCTTCTGGTCTCAGGCTGATGAAGTCTCTGGTTTATGTGGCCCTTTCTGTCTCTTGGGCTAATACTTTGCTTATGTCTTTGGTGTTCTTCATGCTCCTTTACTCCAGGTGGTTGGGACCAACTGATGCATCTGAGATGGCCACCTGCAAGCTTTTAAGACTCCAGATGCCACTCACCAAAGTAGGATGCAGGAACATTTTCTTAATAAGCTTTGTTATGCCAATTAACCTAGATGTCCCCTGAAAGCACGGTCCCCAGGCCCCTATCCCTCCTACTCTGTCCCTCAAAGTGTTTCATTGTATTCAGGAAACCTCTCAGCTTTGGTTTAGTCCAGTTGCGCTGACTTCCCCTATACAGTGTGTGCTGTCCTACCCTTCACCTAAGATAATTCTTATCTGCTATTTAGTTATTAAATAATCCTCACCCTCCCTCCCCACCCTCGTAACCGTCAAAGAATGTTTTCTTCTGTGTTTAAACCTTTTCTTGAGTTCTTATAACAGTGGTCTTATACAGTATTTGTCCTCCTGTGACTGACTAAATACGCTCAACATAATGCCCTCCAGCTTCCTCCATGTTATAAGATGTTTCACGACTTCATCGTTGTTCTTTACCATTGCACAGTATTCCATTCTGTGGACATACCATAATTTGCTTATCCATTCATCCATTGATGGGCACGTACGTTGTTTCCATCTTTTTGCTATTGTGAACAGTGCTGCAATGAACATGGGTGTGCATACATCTATTTGTGTGATGGCTCTTATTTCTCTAGGATATATTCCAAGAAGCAGGACAGCTGGATTGTATGGTACTTCTATTTGTAGTTTTTTAAGGAAGTGCTGAATCAATTTCCAAAGAGAAGGCAGTACCATTTTACATTCCCACCAACAGTGTATGTGTTCCAGTCTCTCCACAACCTCTCCAGCATTTATTATTTTGTGTTTTTTGGATTAATGCTAGCCTTGTTGGG